TTATTGGTGCTCCTTCCTCTTATAAGTATTCTTTATGAGGGGTCTAACAATACTCCCCCCTAAAAGAGACACCTTGTCCTCAAGGTGAAATGAAGGAAATTGCTCTTTGATGACTTCCACAGGCTCCCACGTAGCTTCAAATTCTGGTAGGTCCTGCCATTGAATAAGCACTTCAGCTGAGCCATTAGCATTATTCCGGACAGCCCTTACTGCCGCAGGTGATACTTGGAGTTCTAAATCCTCGGAAAGCATTGGTGGAAGAGGTTGTCGATTGCTTGTTGGAGCCAGGGCTTTCTTTAGTAAGGAAACATGGAAAACTGGATGAATTTTGCTCTCTGGTGGTAAATCCAATTCAAATGCCACCGGTCCTATTTGTTTGATTATTTGATAAGGCCCATAGAACCTAGGACTCAGTTTCTCATTCCTCTTCTTAGCAAGAGACTTCAATCTGTAAGGTTGCAGCTTAAGATAAACCCAATCACCGGTAGAGAGATTTATTGATCTTCTGGACTGATCTGCATAAGTTTTCATTTGAACTTGGGCTTTCACTAAATTAGACTTGAGCTCATGTAACATTTGATCCCTCTCTTGAGTCAACACATTAACTTCTTCCACAACTGAAGGAATGGTAGAGCCTTTGAGTAAATGGGGAGGGTCTCGGCCATAGAGAGCTTTGAAAGGAGTCAATTTCAAGGAGCTATTATAGTTGGTGTTGAACCAATATTCAGCCCACCCTAACCACTTTGTCCACTGCTTCGGTTGAGTCCCTGTGAGACACCTCAGATAGGTTTCCAAACACCGGTTTACTACTTCGGTTTGGCCATCAGTTTGAGGATGATATGCGGAACTGAATTTTAACTTGGTACCAGCCATTTTAAACAACTCAGACCAGAAATGGCTGAGAAATATTTTATCCCTATCGGACATAATGGTTGATGGGAAACCATGTAACTTAACCACCTCTTTGATGAAAATTTCAGCAACATCCTTAGCGGTAAAAGGGTGACTTAAAGCCATGAAATGAGCATATTTGGTAAGACGGTCAACTACCACTAAAATCACATTTTTGCCATGTGCTTTAGGTAACCCTTCTATAAAATCCATTGTAATATCAGCCCACACCTGAGAAGGAATTGGCAGTGGTTGTAGTAGACCAGCAGAAGACAAGGTCTGATATTTGTTCAATTGGCAAACTTCACAAGTGGCAACATATTGTTGAATGTCTTTCCTCATTCCTTCCCAGTATAGAATTGCTGAAATTCTTTTATAAGTTCTGAAAAATCCCGAGTGGCCTCCCGTGGCTGAATCATGGAATTCTTTTAAAAGCTTCGGAATTTTGGAAGACCCTTTTGGTAGCACTAGTCGTCCTTTGAAAAACAACTTCCGATCTCTAAAAGAATATCCCGGGTGAGAGTGGCTATCCTTCAGCAAGTCTTGAATGATTTCTTGCAATTTTTTATCATTTTGAATTTCGGTCTCCCACTCCTCTAATTCGTCAAATTGGACTGTGGATAGAGCTGCATAACTCATCCTTCTAGAGAGTGCATCAGCCACTCTGTTTTGTGTTCCAGGCTTGTATTGAATTTCAAAATCGAATCCCATCAACTTAGAAGTCCACTTGAATTGTTCCTCTCCTAGAACTCTTTGGTCACAAAGAAATTTAAGGCTCTTTTGGTCCGTAAGGATGATGAAATGCCTCCCCATCAAGTAATGTCTCCATTTTTGAATAGCTATCACAATGGCCATCAACTCTCTCTCGTACACTGACTTGGATTGTGCTCTATCCGATAAAGTTTGACTATGAAAAGCCACGGGTCGACCTTCTTGTAATAAAACAGCTCCTAATCCTTTGTTAGATGCATCCGTCTCTATGGTGAAGACTTTGGAGAAGTCTGGGACTGTTAGTATGGGTAATTCAGCCATCAATTTCTTCAGTTGCTCAAAAGCGATTTGGGCTTCGTTGTTCCAACGGAAACAATCTTTTTTCAACAATTGGGTCAACGGTCTTGCTATCTTGCCATAATCCTTCACAAACCTTCTATAATAACCTGTGAGTCCTAAAAATCCTCTTAGTGCTTTGAGATCTTTAGGAATGGGCCACTCCATCATAACAATTAGTTTTTTTGGATCAGCTGCTACTCCTTCCCCTGAAATGATGTGACCTAAATACTCTAATTGAGTTTGGCCAAAAGTGCACTTTTTCAGATTCGCAAATAGTTGGTGCTCCTTCAGTAGCGCTAGAACAGCTTGCAAATGCTTATGATGTTCCTCATTAGATTTGCTGTAGATCAAGATATCATCAAAGAAAACCAAAACAAATCTTCTTAAATATGGTTTCAACATTTCATTCATTAACGATTGAAATGTGGAAGGTGCGTTAGTAAGTCCAAACGGCATAACAACAAACTCATAATGACCCTCATGAGTTCTGAAGGCTGTCTTTGGAATATCATCTTCCTTCATCCTTATTTGATGATAGCCTGATCTTAAATCCAGTTTAGAAAAAATATTCGCTCCCCCTAACTCATCAAGTAGCTCATCAATAATGGGAATAGGGAATTTATCAGGCACAATAATCTTATTTAGGGCTCTGTAATCTACACAAAAACGCCATCCTCCGTCTTTTTTTTTAACCAGAATAATAGGACTAGAGTAAGGACTTACACTAGGCCTAATGACACCCGATTTTAACATATCATCTACTAACCTCTCAATCTCATTTTTTTGATAATGAGGATACCTGTAAGGCCTGATATTGGGAATATCCGTTCCTTCCTTAAGTACAATAGCATGATCTTGTCTCCTCGACGGTGGCAGCCCCTTTGGTTCTTGGAACACCTCTTCAAATTCGCTTATAACTCCTTCCAGCCAGCTAGGCGGTGAGATTACTGAATGTGTTCCAGCCTTTAACATCTGGTATTCTAAGAGAAAAACTTGCCCTTCATTACGCATGGCCTTTAAAACAGACCTGAAGGATGCTGCTGCCCTCGATAATTCAGACTCTCCTTTCAACACATGATATCGATTACCACATGGAATTTTGATAGTTAAATCCTTGAAGTTTGCTTTTATTTCTCCCAAACTGGATAGCCATTCCATTCCCAAAACCACATCCACTCCACCTAATTCAAAGATGAAGAAATCCTGCTGAATGTCCAACTCTTGCATGCTGAGTTTCAGTTGGGGACACACTCCCTTACAAGAGATTTTTCTCCCATCCCCCACTTCTACATAGTAAGAGGGTGTTTCTTCTACTGCCCATTTCTCTTCTTTAACAAGCACAGAAGAAATAAAATTATGAGAGGCTCCACAATCAATCAATACCACTACTTGCTTGTCGCCAATTCTTCCCCGGAGTTTGATAGACTTCTTGGTAGTAAGACCAGAGATGCTATACATAGACAATTGCAAGGTTTTCACTTCTTTTGCTGATTCTTCCTCCTCTACTTCTTCATCTTCTTCTGATTCAGCCCCCATACCTTCGCCCACCACAATCACCCTTAATTGTTTATTTGCACAGATGTGCCCTGGTCCAAATTTTTCATCACACCTATAGCATAACCCTTTCTTGTACTTCTCTTGCAATTCTGCATCTGTTAACCTCTTAAAACTTCTCCCTTTAGATGAAAGATTTGTTCTAGAGTCACTTGTAGTGCTACCAATTGATGAAGCAGCCTGGTTTTGACTCCTAGAATTCGGTGCCCATGTCACAGTTTTTGTGCTATTATAGGCCCTGAAACCAGATTTACTCCCAGAACTTGTTCCACCATTACTCTTGTTTAGCAAATTATTTTTTTCATCTACACTCTGAGCATAGTCCATTAATTCAGACAATGTCTCAACTGGATGCAATTTCAATTCTGCTCAAATAATTTCTTTAAGTCCATTCAAAAAAATACCTTTCAAATAGGATGGCTCTGTGCATTTTAGCGGACCAGCATACAATTCAAATTGTTCTCGGTATTCCTCCACAGTCCCTGTTTGTTTGAGACTCAACAATAATTCAAAAGGACTTTGAATCATTGCTGGCTGGAACCTTCTTAGTATGGCAGTCCTAAAATCTTCCCACGTAGGATTTTGCGTTGAGAATTCCCACCATTGATACCATGCCAGTGCCTTGCCTTCCATAGCCACCATCACAGCTTGTAATTTCTCACCGTCACTCATCTTCTTTAAGTCAAAGTAACGTTCCACCCTGTTCAACCAACCATAGGCATCAGTGCCTTCAAAAACAGGTATCTCCAATTTCCTCCATCGTTCTTCGCGTTTTCGAGGATGATTAGTGTGTACAGAAGTTTCGTCATCACTGTTGTTCGGACTCCCCGGTGTTGTTCGCAATTTGCGACGCATCAGGGCGGTTAATTCTGCTACTTGCTGGCTAGTTTCAACTCTTTCCTTGCGATCATCTTCAAGGATTTTCTCCACCTTTTCTTGCATGGCTAACAACCCTTCCAATCCACGTTCGAGAGTTTCCAATCTGGCCTCCATTTCCCCTCGCGTAGATACCATAAAGCAGTCCGGGAAGGAAACTGCTCTGATACCAGTTGATAGAAACTGGCACTGAACAGAAATAATTTGGAGAATAGGGATACTTTATTGATGATAATTCTGGTGGACAATCAAAGGACCAGAATAATATGCTTACAATAGTTATAGAAAATAGTGCAGAATATTAGGACACACACCAAGATTCGAGAGCTTGGTTCTCTCCCTCCCAAGTGTCTAACACTCACAACTTCAGGATGATCAGAACACAGTTCTGTTTCCCCTTTTATTTCGCCTAGGTTTTGTAACTGTTCCTAATATTAATTGTTACTCTAGTAATAATAATAACTGCTGCCTTTAGAAATCTGTAACTGCTACAGATGCCATTAACATGACTGCTTATCTGCTGCTATTACTTGACAGCATTTATCTTGCTTTATTGGTATTCCTTCCTCTTATAAGTATTCTTTATGAGGGGTCTAACAGATTATTACAAAGATATTCTGGGGAGTGCTATGGAGAGTCGTATCAAAGTAAAACATTCTGTTATGGATAGTGGTACCAAGCTTAATCAAAGGAAACAAGATTGGTTAATGAGGCCTTACTTAGAGAATGCGGTGAAAGATGCAGTGTTCAGCATACCTGGAAAGAAAGCTCCAGGCCCTGATGGATATAGTAGCTATTTTTTCCATGATAACTGGGACATCATTGGTTCTGTTGTGAGTAAGGCAATTATCTTCTTCTTAAACTCAGGTCGGTTGTTAAAGTGACTAACGTCCCATAACTTATTGTAATATCTTGTACAAGATTGCTACTAAAATGATTTGCAGCTGACTCAGAGATATTCTCCTTGACTTAGTTGCCCAGAACCAATGAGGGTTGTTAAAGGTTGCTTCATAGCTGACAACATCATGATTTGTCAAAACCTTGTGAAGCAATATGGAAGGAATATTAGCAAGGATAACTATTGAATGTGACTTTGTTGAAGAAATGCTGGAAGCTTTCATATTTCCTAGTAAGTTCATCTCTCTCATCAATGAAGTGTAACTGCACCCCAAAATTCATGGAGATTTAAAGCTTAATCACCTAAGCTTTGTTGACGATGTGTTACTATTCTGTCATGGAGATTTTGTGTACATCTGCTGTAGAATATATTTCATAATCCATGAGCTGTTGACTGTAACCTGCACTTCCATCATGCTATCTTTGTTGAAATAATAAGTGTGACTTATTACTCAAGTTCCACAGAAGCTTCAGCATAGTTGTTTTGTTTCAGGTTTTTAAGTCAACAATGTTCAAACTACCCTGCTTCCTAGGCCTGCACACATCCTTCCATGCCACTGGGCTTTTTCTGCACCACCCGTCCACATGAAGAATCTACATACTGCATAAATTTTCTTGATAACACACTTAAGCAAAGGAAAGCAAAGCATCCAATAGTTTAACATAGCAAAGGATACAGTTCACATGTTTAAATATTAAATGGTTGTCTAGTCAAAATTATACTTGTTAAAAATTAATCATCTATTGATATGAAATTTTACAAATTTTCATTTTCCAAAAATAGATTAAAAAAACCCATATCCTACATAATTGTTGGTTTTACAGTTTAATTTTGTGTAGCAAAATAAAATTCGTATATAGAAACAATTTTTTAGTTAACGTCAAAAACTGTGAAACGAGAGAATTGGATATCCTTTATTGACTTATCTAACTGACTTAATGTAAAAAGCATAATAAGAATTCATAGCCATTGGTTGCTCTATAAAACAAGGATACCAATAAAACACATGTACTTTATATGTCTACATCAGCACACCTTTCTGATCCTGAACATGATATGAAAATTGTGTCTACAGAACATAATTTACAGGGTGATAAATTGGTCATAAATAGTTTTGGAAGTAACCTATATTATGTTTCTTGTTTTCTATAGCCAATAACAACACTTGAAATGAGACCATAATAATGCAGAGTGAACAAAAGACAACTAAAACTTCCAATCAGCAACATGAACCATAGATTCATGCACAAAATGAAGAGAGTGGAGATCAGGCCTAGAAATTCAGCTTAGAAGAAATACATTAAACTATGAAATAAGAATTGTCATAAAAGCTCATAAAGATTTCTGAACTGAGGGATTTGCGAGAAGCATAGTTTGCAAAATGTGATTAGCTAGAAGCAAGTTTGCGAGAAGCGATATCCGAACTCTGATTTTTTTTTTTTTAATTTGTAAACTGAATCCTATGACTGAGTAAACCGGTTATAAACCAATTAAGTGAAATGGTAAACAGGTTTATCAACTTGACTTAGCTTTTAAAATATGAGCTGGTTTGGTTATTGATTTGGTTATGGATACCCAATTTTTTTGCACACTCCTACTTAAAACCATTTACACACTAAGCAAATGGACAAGTTAAGAATATAATGTTTTTATCCCAACTTGCACCTGAAATAACTAGTCCCCATCTTATTAAGAGCATAGAATTTAATCACAGTGCTATTAGCAAAAACTAGTAGCACAAAATGCAGTAACTAAGATAAGAACTGATGTTACACAAATGGTTGACTCAGTAATGCTTATTACTTATTAGAGAAATCATATGCCGGTCACATCAAGAGATATCCAACAAATAGCAGCCAAGTATAACCGTGTAAGCCTCATTAAATTTACCTAGCAGGAGACTTCAGTCGTGTGAGGTTCATTTGTGTATTATCTCATAGCCAATAGATTAGCACTGCATAAGCAGAGGGGCTTCAGTCATTTTCATCAATTCACAGAACTGGGAAATAGGGGACCATTCCAATAAAATCCATTCTAATAACCAATAACACGCCTGTAGTTCACTGTGGTTGAGGACCTCAAATATTGTCAAACATAGATGTTAGTTTGTTTCCTAATGATCAGTATTAACCAACCTCAATCCATTAGATACATCTTCACAATGCTTCATGTGATGAAAAAGGGAAGTAAAATCAACTGTGTTGTTGGCCATACAATCATACTTTGGAGGATAATGGAAACAAGGCTCCATGGACTTGGATCGTCGACAAGGTGGATTTGGGATGGTTTCCCCATATGCCCTCTCAAGAATCCATGGCTTTAAACCTCCAAGACTATGAGCAACATACCCAAAAGTAGACTTGGGGCTTGTGATCAGTGCATCACACAAACTCAGCAGATAAATTTCCGTCCATGCTTTAATATTGTGCGTGTCATTATTTGATTTTTGACGCCCTTCATGACTTGGCTGATAAACATTTATTACCTCCCCAGTCACAGTTGTATTTGCCTTATACATAGTCCTCAGCTTCTCACCATATTCAGAATATAGAGATGCCACTAGAACAGCTTTTGATGCCTGCTTCTTTAAATGAGATTCCGCTGCTGTCTTTGGCACACCGATATCAGGCAGCAGCTTATGCTGAAGGGTGCAGGCTAGAGTTTCATTAATAATGGTTTCATGTGATGCTCGATGAGTGTTGTATACTCTAATCTGCAAGCCAATTTTCTCATTTTCCTTGGATAAGTGTTCCTCATAGAATCTGCTAATTAGTTCCCATGCCTGATTGGACGGGTGGAAAAGGTAACGGCCCAAATGGTGAAAAACAGTGTCTTTCTTAGGGAACATTTTGCTTAGTTCTTGCGTAAATGATGGAATCATAAAAAGGGAAGGGACAAAATATTGATCCGACGACAAAATTAGAACGGGGACTTTTTGGAGAAGAGCTTGACTTTGATCACAATGAAAGAAGTTGTTATGACCATCATGGGTGTGCTGTAGATTGAGAATGAGAAATTGCGGCAAAAGTCCCTTTGATCTGTTTTTCTTGCTATTCATTAGCATGTTTTCATAAGTTTCAATATGTTTGTGGTGTTTCCAATAAGGAAAATTCCTTGGCAATAACCATGAGGAATCAGGAAATGGCTCACAAAAGAGAGCGAACATGTCAATCCCAAATTTGACAAGTAAAACCCGGTCGGTGAGGATAGCATAAAGAAATGCTGCAGCCAAGGTTATCATCCTGTTCCCCAATCCATTGGAAGCTGTCCAGACAAGGTATTTGCAATTTGTAGCTGCATGATTTTTGCTCATGACTTTATTGTATGATTTCGAACGAGGTCCACAACTTGTATGAAGATTTTCATAGTTTCGTAGCTTGGATATTAGATATGTGGAAGGTTTGTAAGGGGAAGCTTTACGGTATAAGTGAGATTGATACCTACTTAAGCACGACGCTTCATCAAATGCGGAAACTAGAAGTCCATCAAGTAATTGGTCATTAGCAATGGTAATAGGAGATGGCTTCTTTTTAGGACCTGTAGATACGGAAACAAAATTAGCATCATAGACATTTGTCAGTGAAATTAAACTTGAGATTGCAAAATAAAACATTACCAATGTCTAAGATAGTTAGTGTCTGATTTGGTTCTTGAAAGATCCCTGTCACAGTGTTCAGATCTTTATCTCCCAACACCTTATCTAAGAAGACAAATTAGAGACATAAAATACGAACAACATAACTAGTGATGAATTAAAGACATTTACCGGTGATTCTGCTTTAACAGTTGAAGAAGAAGAAGTAACATCGTGGTTGTTATTTGCAGGCAATAGATTCATGTTGGAAAATGCTCCAACAAAATCAAAGATTGAGTTTTGGTGTTTAACACTAAATATGAGTAATACAGAAAACGCTATGAAACTGAAAATCAGTAATGTTCTCAATTTCCTCAAACTAAACCCTAATTTATCCATCATCGTCATCCACGTGCAGCTTCAGATCTTCAAATTGGATTCAAATTGGATTAAACACAACTACAACCATGTCAGTTGAATCAAACCGAACCGAACCGAACCGGTTCAGTGGTTCGAGTCAGCGATAAAACGACGGCGTTAAAGTGTATCTTCAAATTTACTATAATAGCCCTATTTGTAATTGGAAAACCCTAATACTAAATTCCATTTTGTTCCAACGAAGACGCAGCAGCAATATCAGGAACAAGAAAGGTATATTCCTCTCTGATGGACGGTTTTGAAGTTAGTTTGTTATGGATTCATGGATGTTGTTTTTTTTTTTTTGTGTCATCAGATTCAAAGCAAAAGCTATGAAATTAATTGGTATAAATGGAACCAGTCTATATGTCGCACTCTATATTGATGTCAGTAATTCAAAGTTAGTATTCTTCTAGTAAATTATTCTATAGCTGTTGTGCTTTCTCTTTAGTGTGTTTAATTATGTATTTATTTGCAGGGAACTATTAGAAAGTATGCAAGCAGGGACATTGGAGCCAGAAGTTGCATTCCTCAATGCTTCACTTGTATATTTTCTTATATTTGCATTTTATGTCAAGTCCCCATCATGCTGATACTTATATTTTTAACACTGCTCTCAACTGCACCAGATTCCAGATATTTTCCCTGTTTTAGCAGCTGCACACAAAACACTTGTCACCAAATCACACGACTCTTTCATCACACGCACTCTTCATTCCGAGCTCGTTTACAACTACTCAGGCTCCAAACATGTAATTATCTATTGCTATTTAACCTCTTGTGCTTCAAATTTTCAATTTAACTTGCTAATTTTTGCATTTCTTGCCACTAGATTACTGAATCTTTAAAAAGATGTGGTATCTCTGAAAGCACAACATATATCCTTGCTGCTCGATTTGATGCTACCCCTGATGAGGTGAGAAGATTCTACCATAAAATATGGCACCTAGTTTTACTGTCACTCACGTAACTAAAATATTGCCTCTCTTTACTAGATAAAAGCCATGGAGAAACTCATCAAAGGAAAAGAGATCGCCTTGGAGGAGCTGGAAGGGAGAGCAAACCTGTCCCAGATACAAAAGGTTTCTTAGGTCTTTGATCCTGTTATTTTGCATCTTTTGTGTGCCAACTAGCATATTCAATAATTTGTTATATTTCAGCATTACAAGATATCTGCCCCGGAACTTGGAGTATCATCAATTGCAGATGCTATAACTTGCCGAATAGCTGCTCGTGATGCCTTGTAGAAGAATGCTGGTTGTGATCTACTTGTATGCTTAGATCCTAGCCTTATTGTGTAAGAATGATTTAGATTTAGTTTTAGTTGATCTATCATTAAACATTATTTATGATGAGATATTATGGCATCTTTTGATCTATCATATCAAGTTGATTTCCATCTTGTTGCACAGTGTAATCTATTCATACCTGTAGAAATAGGAGGTGTGAGAATAAGAGTTATCACATAATACATAAGAGGATAGACTTGTTATTTTCTAGATTTGAGCATAACCCAATTTATTCTGAAAAAATTGAAACCTGGAAATTGATTTCATTTGATTGATTTCCTATCTTCAGATTTCAAAAATGTGAAAAAGCTTCTTATCCCAAAAACCGATACTGGGAAATCTTGCCTATCAATTTGTTTCTCTTACCAAAATTATTTCTAGTCTTTTATTGCTACTACTATAAGAGTTACCACACTCATTAACAATATCATTTGTTGCAAAAATTGGAAAGATGATCCACAGTTTTGCACTGCATACAGACAGTGTAGATCGAGGAAGCAATTCTGTCATCAATATATTCGGTAAATGCATATAGGATTGGAGATCGAATGCCTTCACTTGATAGGCTTGATGGGTGACAGTGACAGGAAATATCGAATGCATTTGCATGGAGGGCTTGATGCTCTATGTGATACAAACTTATAGAGTATTTTTGTAAAAATGCATTACAACCTATTAGAGAAAGTGAGAGTAGTCTAAAGTTGCGCATATTTTTAGTTTTTCTTTTACAACAGTAGTGGAATTATGATATGGATGACATTTGCAACTCCATCTCAAAGGTAGAGAAAGTAAGCTCAGTTTTTTATAGAGATTCGATGAACTTTAAAGTTTAATCCCTTATCTTTTAATATGCTCCCTTTATGTAGGATTTAACATCCCACCCTCTAAATATATGTCATCCTCTCTTTTTCCTAAATTTTTAATGTTCATGAATAAATTAGGGGGAATAAATTAGGAGGTGATAAAGAATAAAATTTCTAGTACTTTTGTGAAATTTTCAATAAAATTTTTTGGAAAAAAAAGTTTCAATACCGAAATTTGTGTATTTTGAAATTTTTGGCCATTACAAAAAAGCTTTAATTTTGGAATATGATCATGTGTTTGGATAAGATTCAAGACAATCTAAAATTTCAAGTAGGCAATTACCGTGTCAAGCTATATAGACTAAAACAATTATTTTTTGGACGGACTATTTTTTATTTCTTTGTTTATATTAATTGTTATCTTTATCCACATATTCCTAATGAGTTTTCCTTTTTTAATAATTTGCAATAAATATTCTATAAAGAACTTTAACAATTCTCTTTCTCAAGGTAAACTATAATAGACATATTATTAATCAATAAATTTAACACAACAACCTTTTTTTTAAAGTTCATATTTGATCTCTTGGAAGGATTTTATCAATTATTTTTAATTTTCGAATATCATAAATCTTTTTTTTTTTGTGTGTTAAGTCATTTAGTCAACAAAAATCATCTTTAAGAATACTTACACATATTGGTGAGTCGTTACTAAAAGAGTGAGCACAATTAACATTCATTTTGAGGATCACAATAGGAAATTTAATCAAGTTAATACTAGTAATGTCATTATCTCTAATCTTCTGGTATTCAATTCAAAAACTAGGAATTTACTCTACTAAATTTAAGATTCTAGTCCAAAGAATAAGAGCCATATTCAATTGTTGCAGAATATGACAGAATTGAGGTCCTTCCAAGATAATTAACAACTCCAAAAATGAAGTTTCATTGGCCAATAATTAAGTTTTATGGTGTTTTTTTTACAGAGGTTTTATGGTGTTATCCCAAAAAGGATTCACATCGTTGTGATTTTGAATAACATGCATGATGGGTTATGGTGCAGGGTTACATCTAAGACATAAGTTATCAACAATTATTGTTCATTATCACAATTACATGCGAGTTTATATTTAAAAATATTTGTGTTAGTTAGAAGTAGAAGTTTTTAAAATTACGTTCTTGAAGAATGTTTCGTTTCTGGAGTCCAGGTTTATTTTGGTAGCTTAGCTATTAGACATATTTTTGTTAGGGTCTACGTGGCAGTTTATTTTATGTATTTAAACAAGTTTGGGTATCCTGGTGGACTGAAAATTCGAAAGGGCGGTCAAGGCAAAAGTTAGGGATTAAAGCGTACGACTATGTTTCATTGGATCTCTGGAATCAGCTTTATCACCAAGGTTCAAATAGTCCAAGATCAATTCAATCGACCTCTTTCAATGGCAATAGATGATGTTCGAAGACATAGGAGCAATAGCGGAGTTAGAACTCAATGAGATCACTTCCACATGGCTATTATTTATGTTTTCACTTTTTATTCCTTTCATTCTTTCGACGATTTCCTCTTACTAGGATCTCTGTCTCCTTGTACAAAAATGCTTGTTTATAGGCAAACATCAATACAAATATACATTGAAGTGTAAACTTTTTGTTTATCTGTTTTGAATGCAAAAGTGTCCAATGACTAAAATTGAATGAACATATGCATATGAACATGATTAAACTGTTAAATGTATACATAAAAACAGTAACAAGCATCTCCTTAAGGATTTGGGATATTCCCACATAGATACTTCAATAAGATTATCCCCACAGAGACGGATTCATGCAATCCCGAGCCAAAGTTCTAAACTTTCAAAAACCTTCTCCCCAACTGAATTGGTCTTAAAAGAGGAAGTCTTGTGGAGTTCTTCCTAAAGAATGCACTTCCCCAACAAGTCGTCAAAATATTCTCTTCAACAGGGTTTATTTCTCCAACAAACTACAAATTCCCCAGCTTGAGTTGGCCTCTCAGACTATTACAAATCAATGAACAAAACCCCCTTAATCCCCAGTAGAGTCATTACATTCCCAAATAGAGTCATTACTATTCCAGTAAGTTACTGTGAAGCCTAGAATTCGACAAGTTAACAGTTAAACTTCTTCCTTCTAAGCAAATTACTGCGAAACTTGGAATCCGACCAGATAACAGTTAATTTCATCTAAGTTGTTGCGAAGCCTGGAATCTGACCAGATAACAGTTTAACTTCAATTTTCTGTGAAGCCTGGAATCCGATCAGATAACAATTAATTTCATCTAAGTTGCTGCGAAGCCTAGAATCTGACCAGATAATAGTTTAACTTCAATTTTTCGCGAAGCCTGGAATCCGACCAGATAACAATTAATTTCATCTAAGTTGATGTGAAGCCTGGAATCCGATCAGATAACAGTTTAACTTCAATTTTCTGCGAAACCTGGAATTCGACCAGATAACAGTTAATTTCATCTAAGTTGTTACGAAGCCTGGAATCCGACCAGATAACAGTTAATTTCATCTAAGTTGCTGCGAAGCCTGGAATCCGATCAGATAACAGTAGGGGTGTTCAAAACCAAACCGGCCCAATAGAAAACCGCAAAACCGAACCGAACCAAACCGAAACCGCAAAAAACCGCATTTGGTTCGGATGTGTTTGGGTCATTTTCTCGTTGAACCGTATGGTTCGGTTCGGTTTGCGGTTTGTATTTTACAAACCAAACCAAACCAAACAAAACCGCATTATGTTATAAAATCTTACTAACCAATATATATTTCTATAATTCTTTAGAGAAATCAACATGTATTATGTGTATATTTTATCATACTTTGTATTATATTCATTTTAATTTACAAATCATAAAAAATAAAATATTATT